GCACTTGCAATCCCTCACCAATGGTCATTGCTTGATGTTATGGCTTCTGTTTGCAAAAAGTTGGAAGAAAAATGCTTGGATTGTGAGATTCAAATCTGTTATGGATCTTGCAATTTAAAACCCTAGAGCTTCAATCTTCCATGGATATGCCTCTGAGCTTGCTTGTTCCCACTCACAATCTTCAATGGATGATGGATGAAGAAAAAAAATGATCAGAATTGGTGTAGATTGGAGAATTTCACACTTTCTTACAATGGAAGCAACAATGGAATTCTCTCTTTTCTCTCCCTCTTTTCACCAACCCTTTGCACCAATGATTAACACTCCTTATATAGATGATGATGGACAGATCTAGAAGTTTCTAGATTGATCTTAGAGGATTCTAGAATGTAATGGAAAGTTCATGAAAATCTCACTTGATGACATGTTGATATCTCATGGTATCTCCTTACAATGCACTTATAAATCTTCAAAATCTCCTTACATGCCAAATTGGAATGATATGCAAGCTCCTTGCCTTGAAAATTTACCTTATGCCAAGTTTTCCATACTTGCCTTCTTATGCAAGTAACAAAAATACAAAGCAAGTCCAAAATTTAACCCCTAACTCAAAAAAGTGGCTGAACCAATGTCTCTAAAATGATGTTTGGAATCAATTTGGTATATTGGATGACCCATTTTGGATTTGTAGATCTCTCAAACCAATTTTTCATTTCAACTTTTTCAACTTATATGCCTTTTTTAGGTCATTTTCCTCCACCTTTGATCAAATCTTGTTCTATGCATTTCCAAACTTCCATGACCTCTTTTATAGACTTAAAATGGCATTTTGAGCAACTTTGATGTTGTGAAGTTTTTCATTTGAAGCTTCCTTGTATGAGTTTTAGGCATAGGCTAAGAATGACCTGTAATCCTCAGATGACCAAAATACCCTTTGCTTGCCAAGACCATAAGTAGAGTTACACAAATCATATGAAGGCATACCATACCATTATAGAACTCTAAGACAATAAGGAACAACTCTCATGTTGGCCAGGAATCCATTTGAAATCTCCTTGAAGGTCAAAAGTTGCTTGGAAGACAGACAACTTTCACAGACAAATTTCAGTGTCCTCAGATGACCTGTAACTTGCAAGAGCTATAACTTGAGTTCTATAAATCATCTTGATGACTTCCACCACTCAAATTAAATATATGAAGATACTCTACAAGTTTCATGTGGACCAAGAATTCATATGAAGCTTGCATCTTGAGTTACACTGCTTTGAAGTTTGACCTAAATCAGGGGATTTTACACTGAAACCCTAATTTGGTAACATCCATCTCTCCTTGACTCCTATTGATTTTTATTTATCACAACATCATATCCATATCCATATAGCAAATGATGAATCCCACATTCTTCAGATGGTTCTTGATGCCTTTCAAAACAAGTCTTTGACCTAGGATTGACCTAGTGTTGACCCAGATAAAATCCTAGTTGACTGACTTCAACTGAGGCTCTTGCAATCATTCCAATGACTTGGTTCTTCTTCAAAAATGATCATCTAGGCTCTTCATAACATCCATACACATCTCATGCTCTTAGCTCATAGCTCATACTTCCTCTGATGACCCCCAAACAACCTCAAGATAGGAGAAAATTCATTGATCAACCTGTCAACTCCCCAAAGCTCAAATTCTTCCTTGATGACCTGAGTAGTCTGGAATATGAGTAAAACCCTTGGATATACCTCTTGAGACAAGAATAGCACTTGATCCCCTGATTAAGATAGCTTGCCTATGCTATGCAATGCAGATGAATACACTATGTACATGATGGCAATGCAAATGACTATGCAATTGAAACATAAACCTAGGTTAGAAAAGGTTGGGCAAATTTTGGGGTGCAGCAGAATGCACCACACCCAAAGCATGCTTTTCTCTTGGAGGAATTTTAGATGCAAATAACAATCTTGTTTGCTTCTCTCTCATGCACACATTGCATGATTTATCTGGCTTTTTAATTGCAGGAATTCCTTGTACCAACTTCATCGAATTCAGATGCCCTAAGCTTCTGAAGTTCAAATGACCAAATCTTTTGTGCCACGACTCACTTTCCTTCACAACACTTGTTGCACTAAGGCATTTATAGTCTGCAGTTTTAAAATTCACTTTGAATGTTCTATTCATTATTTGTTCTAACTTCATAATCAACTTCTGATTGTACTCATACAACTTCAAAAGATTGTCCTTCATGGTGACTGAAAATCATTTCTCAATTAATTAACCCATACTCATCAGATTGATTTTCATGTCAGGAACATACCACACATTATGAATCAATGCAGTTTTACCATTATTCAAAATTAGTCTGACATTTCCCATATCTTCAACATTGAGGTATTTATCATCAACACATATAATCTTTGTCCTCTTTCTAGAGTCAAAAGCAACCAGCTATTTCTTATTTCCAGTGAGGTAATTTGAGAAACTTGTGTCCATATACCACCAGTTTACCAAATATGCATCATCATATTTAGAAGCCATTAATAGCACAGATTCATCATCAGAATCCCTTTGTCTATGTTTGCTTCTTCTGACTTTATTTCCTTGTTTGATGAACAATCAACAACGAAGTGACCAAACTTCTTACAACAGTAGCACTGAACCTTCCTCTTGTCATACTTCTCCTTCCCCTTATGAGCACTCTTCTTCCTTTCAGAAGTTAAGGTTTTTGACCAAGACTGCTTCCGATATTTCTTATCAGAAACTGCTTTCCGAGCCTGCTACTCTACATCTATTTTAGAGTTTTTCTCAGTCAGACGCAACTTTTATGCCTCTAGACTTCTTTGCACCTCTTTAACTCTCATGGCGTTAAAATCCTTATAATGTTCAATTGCTACCACAATATAATCAAAATGAGGAGTAAGAGATCTAAGTACCTTCTCAATGATCTTTTCATCAAAGAAAGTTTCTCCACATGACTCCATCTCATTTGTGATTAAAATCACTCTAGAAATATAGTCAGGTACTTTCTCATTATTTTTCATGGTGAGATTCTCATATTGCTTATGTAGAAACTAAAGCTTCACCTTCTTCACGAATGCATCACTACCGTAGCACCGTACCAGTGTGTCCTACGCAACCTTCTTCGTCGTCGAATCAAGGATTTTCTCAAACACGTTCGCATCCACACATTGATGGGTGTAAAACAATATCTTATAATCCTTCTTGCTCAGCTCATGCTGAGCATTCCTCTATGCATCCGTTGCATTTGTCGAAAGTGCAACCGGAACGTAATCGTCGTTGACGAGATGAAGAACGTCTTGAACGGAAAAGAACACACACATCTGAATCATCTACCGATTTCAAATCTTGCCATCGAAAACTGGAAGCTAACTACTCTGATTACCATTTTCATTAATCTTCAACATTGTGCGATTCACTCAGATCTCACCAAACACTAGTGTTTCCCAATCCCACAAAATCAAGAAATGTGATTCTGATAAAAAATTCAACACAAATTCAAGAAACGAAATCAATCATACAATGCCTCATCGTTCACTCGTGTTTCCCAGTGGATTCGAACCGAAGTTCTAGATACCAATTGTTGGTGCACAAGGTAAAGAAGATGAAGATGGAGGAAGAGAGAGAATTGAAATAATAAACTTTCACTACTCTTCCAAAACGGTTATAGTGAATGATTACTCCACTACTATGGTTATGCGCACTACTCGCTAGACAACTATTGACAGTTACTCTTGTTTATATACACAAAAAATAATGTCATCAAGGCAAAATAATAACCTATACTAGTTAAATAAAACTTAATAAAACTAATATTACTACTAAATATGAATTACTTCAGACAATTAGAACAATTAGAAGTTGATAAGTTGCAAGTGTAAGGTTTATATTGGATAGTAAAAGTACCATTTTAAATAGACTTATTATGATTGCCAAAATGAAGCACTTTAGAATTAGAGAATCATAGTTGTGAAAACTATACAAAATCTACCAACCAACTGTCTCACAAGGAAAATAGAGAGAAACGAAAGTATACATGTATATCTTACCTTAAGGACCATAATGTGAACAAGCTTCTCAAGGGATCCTTTCCATACTTGTACAAAAAAGGTAGGTTTCTACCAGAGATGCGTTAAACTCACACATTTACTCATGAAATCTCCCAATTTCACAACCCCAGGCCTCTTTTTTGTTGAGATTAATATGTTCTAGTTCAGTTTATTACAGTGTACATGGTTTTATTTTATCAAGTCTTTCACAAATTTCATCATTAAGGCCCTCAGTGGTGTTCTTTCTTTTTGTTATTATTTGTGGCCAAACATGGAAGGTATTTATGGTGGGCTAGTACTACTGGCTTGTTCATGTTTTAAGGCCTAAACTGTGTATGTTAGCTTTTGTTGCACATGATTTCAAGGGTTGAAACTTTATGGCAAATATTTGTTTCCTTCTCTTAGATCAAATTCAACTCTCTCTGATACAGGTTCTGAGATATATGCTGAAAACTCTTCTCTTGTCTCGATAAACTGGTCTACTAAATGTTCTATTGCATCTCCATTGTTTTTTGGGACAAGCAAAACTTTAAATCTAGCCTAAACCATAACAGAATTCAGTATTTTTACGGTGGAATTGAATGAAATGCATTTAAATAAAAACAAACTGGATTAAGACTCGCGCGATGAACAATTGTAATTCAATGTTTAAATTACGTGAACAAAAAGTTTTGCAATTTAAGCTTTTGCCTCCTTTGAATAAAAAGTTTGTAATGGTAATTATGTATATAAAAATGAATGATTCATTCCAAAAGTCATGTAATATAACTCTGTCATGACTTTATTTCCTTGTACCACTTTTCTGCCAATTGCTTGAATTAAAATTTTGTGGTTACATAATCATCTTTTACTTTTGTTAGCAATCTAGCTAGTTCAAAAATAAAGTTGGATCATATTATGTCATATCGGATGAGACGAGGTTTGCTTCTCATGGAGTGTTGATCAGGTTCCGGATCCAGTTGCAGTCCTCTTGCTATATTCGGAAGAAGATTGTTCACTGCTTGAGACGGAAAGATTGAGACCATACTCACTCGTTCCACCGTACTCGCTGCTTGCTACGCCGCTTTCCAAGGCTAGTTTCTTGAACCTTTTCATATCAGCACTGTATGCTGCTGCATCATAATTTCCACTTGCACTGCTGTACACAGTACTATGTCCAGCTTTAATTCCGTCCTGATGAAGCGCTTCGAGCGAAGAATCTCCCTCTAGTACTCTTACAATCTATTCAATTAACATTAACATTATTAACTATCAACAAACCTCTGTTGCATAAAACATGATACATGGTTATTCGATTTTACCTGACTCATTTTTGGACGCCTTTTTGCCGAATGCCTAACACTAGCAGAAGCACAAGCTATCATTCGTGTTACCTCGTTTTTGTCATAATTGTCCTCTAATCGTATATCGACTAATCCAGTAAGTATTCCGCTTTCCAATGCTTTTGTACAAACTGGTCTAGCCTGCATATTCATAAACAAAGTTATTATATGAATAGGACAACAACATAGTATTCGAAACATTCATAACCAAATGAATGTTAGTATGAAATGTAATATATACCCAATCAACCAAACTATCTTCTTCATAATCACCGGTGGTTCCAACCGGTCTTCGTCCAGTTATGAGCTCCAAAAGCATAACACCGTACGAGAAGACATCAGATTTATCAGTTAGCTTACCGCTCGATGCATACTCGGGAGCCATGTACCTTAATTAGTAAACGAAAAGATAACTATAAATTCATTGCAATTTGCAAAATATTGACACAGATAAATGTAGCTAGGTTGGATTAGATTAGTATTTGTTAACTACCCAAATGTTCCCATGACGCGAGTAGAAACATGAGTGTTAGCGTCTTGATTAAACTTTGCCAATCCAAAATCTGCCACCTAAATGGATAAAATCTCTGAAACTTAATTACCGAAGAAAAATAGAGGAGACATGTATATACAACACCTAAATGGATGATTGGTAAACATACTTTTGCATCAAAGTTGTTTTCGAGTAAAATGTTTGCACCCTTTATGTCTCGGTGAATGATACGAGGGTGACCTGTAAGTTATTGTTTCGACGCGTTATTAATGATAACAACTTCATCCTTAATGCACTAAATCACAAAATAGAGTACATATTAGTTATTTGTGACAATTAGACTATAAGTTGATAATCACTTACAATCCTCATGTAAATAAGCAAGTCCTTTGGCCGATCCAAGCGCGATTTTAAGCCTTGTGCCCCAATCCATCACAGGTAGACCCTTTCCTGCAAAAATTATGTATCAGAATGTTAAATTAAACCCGTAAAGTGATATTAGTTAATAGTTAAAGTTTGAAAGAGGTAGCTAGTAACTTACCATGAAGGTGATATTCAAGGGTCTTGTTAGGAACAAATTCATAAACAAGAAGCTTTTTACTATCCGAAATGCAATATCCAACAAGCGAAACAAGATAGCGATGGTGAACGCGGCTGATAGTGTCGACTTCGGCTTGGAATTCTCTATCACCTTGTCCACTGGTTGATTTAAGGCTTTTCACTGCTATTTCTTTACCATTAGGAAGAACACCTTTATGTACATATCCAAATCCGCCTTGACCCAACAGGTTTCGTTGGGCGAATGCGCCAGTAGCAACCGATAACTCATCGTAAGTGAATGAACTCTGGTTGAACCCAAGCGCAACCGTTGGATGTGGTGGTGGCAATACAGGACCTTGTGACCCGGAGTAACTCGAGGTACTCATGTCACTGCTTAGTGGCTGGGGTGGTAGACCCCAACCTCCACCACCACCACCACCACCACCTAGAGAAGGTGGTGGTGGACCCCAGCCTCCACCACCTCCACCACCAGCGCCAGGTGGTGGAGGAATATTAAGTACATGATCACGGTTATTGAACTCATATTGATTAGGACCACGGTTATTGTAGTCATATTGATTAGGACCTGCAATTTCACAGATTTATTTCCAAATTATATAAAATAAATATTCTACAGAAATAAGAAACAAACATAAACAAATTGTGTCGCTATGCTTTTCGAATGACATAATTAATCCTCTTAAAAACCACATTCATTCTAAAAAAATGAAATTGAGAATTTATATTATATTATTTATGTTTATATACCGCGTGATTGATTGGTGTAGAATTGAAGGTGAGGTTGTGGCGATCTCTTCTTTCTTCTTGAACATACAATAAGGAATATTGAAAGGACAACTAGCAATAAACCAGCTCCACTTGCAATTCCTATTATAGCCCCGGTGCTGAATTGGTTTTCATTCTTTTCATTTGAATTATGGTTTTTATCCGAGTGAGACGATTTCGGTGGTGACAAACGATGATGTGGTGGCGGAGGAGGAGAAAAATCATGCCGGTGTGGAGGCGATGGTGTGTCGCCTTGTGGTGATGGTGGAGACGGGGAAGAGCCAGAAGGTGGAGGTGGAGACGGAGATGAGGGAGGAGGTGAAGACGGCGGTGGAGATGACGGAGGAGGTGATGATGGCGGTGGAGATGAATTATCAGCGGCTGGTGGTGGTGGTGATGAATTATTAGACGCGTCTGGTGACGGAGGTGGCGGGGATTGTGATGAATCAGACGGTGGAGATGTTGTTGGAGAATTGGCATCAGCCATTGATATAAATGATATTTACGATGAATGAGGCGGAGAAGCCACGCCCGCTCCCTCAAATAATGACCCCGGCCATTAATGTATCCTCAAATCTGCAATAAAAAATATAAAACATCATGACGATATGTTACATAAAATGTTTGTAAGTAATTTTGATTATGATTAAGGTTATGTATACCTAAGGGGTAAAGAGAAAGGGAGGAAGAGGAGGAAGAATCTCAAAGAAAAAAAGATGAGCATGGTGAATGTGCATGGTAATAGTAACACACGACCCAGAAACCGTTTTTCGTTTCCATGCCACCTCTCCTACAATGCAATCATTTCTATTTTTAACTAAATATATATTGTTGTTTCTCTGTCAGATTGCTAATATTATTCTCCTGGTCTTTGATTTGTTATAATATGTTATGCGTTGCACCAACACGTGAGTTATATTGATTAGAATGCACAATGCTAACCTGGTCTATCTATATAAGCAATTCAAATTAAAATAATCCAATATTTTAAAAACCGGATTGAACATGTTGGATTGGGAATATGTGAAGTGGCCGGTTCAAACTACATATTTGATTGGATTTAGACCGGTGTAAACCAAAGATATGATTGGATTTAGACCGGTGTAAACCAAAGATATTTGATAAAAACTGGTGACTCTGTAAGTTTAGAAAATCGGACCGGTTCAATACTTGCATTTTTAATTAAAAACATAGAAAAGGAATTGAAAGAAGAAAGATTTGAAACTATTATCTTAAACAAAAGTAAGAAAAGGAAGAAGAAGTTGGGGGATCATAAATTATGTTGACAAGAAGAAGAAGAATATTTGAGTAAGAAAAGAAGAAGATTAGACAATATTTTAAAAATCAGTGTGACCATTTACCCGACAAGATAAGAGGTTAAAGAATCGGTGGTCGAACTAGAAAGTCATTAGTTGAACTGAATGACTAACTCAGATAAAATTAAATGACTCAAACATACAACTTGGTATCAATAACGAAATTGTATATAACAAAATATTTGATCTCTACAAAGTTCTAAAAAAAAATACGATACCTAAAATATATCATAAACAATTTATCTCGAAAAGCTTTGCATAAATGATGTCAAATAAACTTCCGCCGTCGAGGATTCTCAACACATAAAAAATGGTCATAGTTTTCGTTATTACCAAAGAGAATATTTCATTTGGGATGAAGTCCACCTTCTCACTATGGGAGAACCCGAGGATAGGCCTTTCTAGTTTTCCATTAGTATGTTTCCCTCCTTTGCTAATTGTTATTATCTCGACAATTTGTCTATTAATTGTACTTTTATATGGGTTTTTTCTTAATATGGAAAAATCTCATAGGGTGGATGTAATGTATTGGCGCTATAGAGTGCAACTCAAGAGGGGGTGAATTAAAGTTGTCCGATTGTTATTATTTTTGCGTTATATTTTTAATTTTCTTTGCATATGAAAATAATATGTTCTTAGTAATATAAAGTGCTCAAAGTTAAAGTGCTCGAAAATACCGGAGCATAAGAAATTATACTACTATTTCTTCTTACCAATCAAGAGTACATCTAATTCCTTCACACCTTGAAAGATTATCTACTATGTTAGATCTTTGTAGAAGTCTCACACCAAGACTTCTATTACAATATTCTAACATAAACACAAAAGATTATGGTGGACTTTGAATTACACCAATTCAAAGAATCTTTTTCACAAAACACCAAACACTGTAGTGAACTTTGAATTACACTAATTCAAAGAACTTTTTACAAGAGACTACTTATCACCACAAAATTGGTTATTAATTTACAATAATTTTTTTTGAAAAATCTTAAGTATTTGAACCTTGAATGAATTCCAGGATGAAGTTTAATCTTTTCTTTCAATGTTACAATTCAGAAATATTAAGTGCTCCTAATATATTATGAAATTTTTACAAATGATTTGATGATTATGCACAAAATTTTAACATTTTGAAAATAAATTAACACTTAAAAAATTGATTTGAGTTGTAATAAATTTTTTATAAAAGAGGTAATTTAAAAATTGATGTATTTTGCCTTAAACACATTTTAAGAAACCTCTAAGAATATATGCATAAGTTTGAGACATTTATTTGAAGGTTTGAAATAGTTTAAAATGACAATGGTTCATGAAAAGACACATTTCTTCATTCTACACAAGGTTTCTTAAATCAATTAACGGATATCGGATTTAAAAATTGCATAACAATTTTCAAATTTCAAACAACAACGGAAATAAGTTAATTACGATTGTTTTTAAAGTTAGATTATGGTGGTTTCTACTCTCATAATTTATCAAAAGTAGAATGATTATGTAACTGATTAGCATTCTATAAATTTTGAAAAATATGATTTGAAAAAGCTTGAATTGGTTGGTTTTGATGCATAAATGTATGGAACATTAGAGATGAAAAAATAAATGATTTTTTGAGCATATAAGAATATACATAATATGAATTGTAATAGAATACCTTTGCATCATGATCAATTCATTTTAAATCAGCATTCAATGGCTTTTGAAATCTTGATATTTGAGTGAGCTTAGACTTTAACTTTTTTCTTCTTTAATAAGCTTTTGATAAGCTTTTTTCGTTTGTTTGTTGCTTCTGTATGTGTGAGTGTGTCGGTGGCTAGGCGTGTGGGTTTTGTGTAGCTTAGATTCTATCAGAGTTTCAGTATGAAACTCTGAGTAATCTTTAAACTTTAGCTCTGAGTGAAATTTGGCAAGGGTTTGGTATGTAGAGCTTGCATAATCATTGCCAGTCATTGGCCTTCTATTTATAGGGAAGTAAAAGAGAGTGAGAAGAGTATAATTCTGTTGAGATTGGAAGGAAATGAGTGGAAATGAGAGTCGGAGGTTTAGGATCAGCGTGAACATATTTGATCAAGGGTGAGGATTAAATGAAAATGTATTTTTGTTTAGTTATGAATTTCAATTTCATTTGCTTTGTGTTTGTTAAAATTTAGATGAAATTAACATGAAATGTGAATTTGTTTGGATGGTAAACGTGAAGTTTGTGGTTCCAACTTTGATGTATGTATCATGTAGTATATATCGTGTGTGCTGGATTGGTTATGGTATGCTAATTGAGTTTACTCTTTTGTGTGTTTTTACATATGGATAGATGGGTTTTGCATTGGGTGATGAGGAGCTAAGGCACTCTGATGATTCAACATGAAGACCAGGGAAGATGATGAGCAGTGGCATGATTTGCATGATCTTGAAGATGATGATGGTGTCATGGCAAGATGATGATATAAGGATCCATTTTATTTTATTTTTCCTTTTGTGTTTCTGAATAAAAAGTGTAAATGATAAGATGAGATGATGATGCTGATGTATTGATGTTAATGAATAAAATAAAAAAATGCCCATTTTGTTTCACTCTAAATGCCCATATTATACCTTAATTAATTTTGAAATGAATATACCAATTATGAATGCCAATTAACTAAAAAAATGATGAAATATGATGATAACGATGATTAACAAATGCACTTGGATTTCTTAATAAAAATTCAAAAGGCTATACGCAAAATACAAGTATGTAATATGAACAAACTTAAATATTTTTTTTATGAAGAACCATTAGCACAATAGTTCTTAAAATAAAAATGTTAGACTTAAAGAAACAAAGAAATGACCTAGCATATGCCACGACATGTAAATTAAAACAAAGATAGGATGGATGAATACTTATGAAAGAAGTTAGGCGTGAATGAATGTTAAACATACGGTGATTAGAGGAAAATTTAAACTATTAAACTTTTATCCACTATATGTAGAGGGATTATCTTGACTTGATGAAATGCATGATCAAATGCAATGATATTGATATGTTGAAGTAGATGAAAAAAAAAACTCAAACTATGATATGCAAATGGTAGGACAAATTTGAGGTATGACACATGGGCATGGTAATAATCAAGCATGGAATTTATGTGTTCATTTGGATCTATCATGCCATTGTAGATGTCCATTTTTGGAGGTTTCTCGAAGGATTTTGAGATTCTTTTATCTAGAATTCATCCAGAGAGTAGGATTTTCCTCCGGCCAGGAACATGTACTTTGGTTTCGTGCCTCCTCTCTCTAGGATGGTGTGACATTGATCGGTAGCGGCGTAGGTTCCTCGATGGATTATGATTGTCACGTCTTCCTTCAAAATCATGTGGAGGAGCACAATGTTTCCAATGTCTCACACGATCTGGTGGTTTGAGGGCTCCTATGTGCGGGAAAATGGTGTAAACATAGATCTTCTCTAGATAGCTCTTTGGTTGCCACATAATTTTTTGTGTGTACGGAGTTCTCCTTGGGGGAGTTATGTAGATCATCTTCAATTCGGAGCAGGCTCTTAGTAAAAAAAATGCAAATTTTGCTACTGCATCATGTTGAAAACACTGTTGAGCATATCATTAACCCTTTGTACACCAAAGTTGGCTGATAGTTGTTGGAGGATTCGAAAGATCTCTTGTCCGAGGATTTGTGGTGACCTCAGAGATTGCTTTGACGTCTGGCTTTGACCACATATTTAATATTTTTAATTATCAAAACTAAATAATAAAGTACATAACAAAATAAACGATGCGGGTTTGGGGCCGGGTACTAGTGTCCACCTTACCCGACCCATTCCCATATTTTATAATAAGAGAAAACTCAAATTCAATCAGATTAAGCTTTTTCCATCAGATTCGGAGCGGATTCGAGTGGGTACCCGTGGGTACGATTTTTTTTGCCATACCTAAATTTAGGTTTAGAAATTTGTGGCATTGGTATAAAAAACCTAAAATCTAATTCAATGTTTTTTAATAACAATGCAAATGATTTAATTTTATCTTACAGTCTAATGATCAAAGTTATGCTAAGTCGGGGTAATTTTATTTTGACTTCAATAATACTTGAGGGATTGTGTACATCTCAGACTCTCCATCTAAAGCATTTTGTCCCTCTAGGACTTATGCTTTAGGAATTGTGTACTTTCTAGACATTC